TTTTTTTTTTTTTTTTTTTTTTTTTTTTTTCCCCGTTATGTACTACCGGTTGTCCGAGGCTCGGCAATAAAGTCTGAGGCTCGGGAATGTTCGGGCTACCGGTAGTCCGAGCCTCAGGCTTGATAGCTGGGCGAGGTACTGGTGGTTTGATAGCCCACACCTCTCCTCGTCCTGGCCAGGAGGCCCAAGCCCCTTGAGTATTTGACCGACATACCCAAGAACAGCAGCACTCGTAATATAACAGCAGAAAGCCCCAAGACCTGAATGTAGTACCCCGAAGTCCAATTTTGCAGCCTATTTCGGTTATAACTTATATAAGAGACTCTGAAATAGCGTCAGTACGCTGAAGCTAAAAGGATCCATCCAGCTGACACAGTGCGTTAATTTTTCCTAATGGTCAACGTCGGTGCTTGTTTCGCTACAGTCCATCTTTCAAAAAAAGGGTTAGAAAACAGTTATCCAACTTCATCATCCCTGGTGACTACCGTCTTCACCCGGATAGAACCCCCGGTCATTATCGCTGCATCTGGACAGAATATGGCCCCGAATACGGCTATTATGACTGGGCATTGTATTCGGGTGAAGACGGAAGATGGTAGTGCTAGCTGGTGATTTAGAGCCCAAGAACCGAAAATTACACCCCAACCCCAACCCACTCCCCCTGTCTGCGACTTCTTCCTTTTTCGAATCTGAGAGGGTTATCAATCTGATCAGAGCTCTAATCTGCTACTTCAATTTCTCTGCATTGCCTCTTTTTTCCCTGAGAAGATCAGCACTCCCTGCTTTTCTACAAAACACTCGTAATAATTCCCCTGCGTGCCTGCCCTACATAACCCCAACCACTGCATATACTCATATTAGGCGTAAATACTCCCGTCAGAATCAACCCGTCGGTTCGTTCACGCAGAGGCCCTATCAGAGAAAGCATTCATCCCAGTGCTTTTTCCACCAATCCCATACTAATTGAGATATTGGGCATGACCCACAGATACGTTGCTGTTTCCCTAGTCCGGTCCACGCCGGACACTAAGTTATAGAAATTTTGATTCATTTGTACCCAGCACTGGCTGAAGCCAAAAAATGCTAGATGCCTTCTAGGAAGGTATCAAATCACTATCAATACAATAAGCTTCAGAGGCCTGGGCGATTGCAGGAGGTACACATAACCTGCGAGCTGTTCATTCCACCGTTTCAATGCTGTTTTTCCTTCGGAGGCTGTTTTTTCCAACCTGCTCCGTTGAATTCTTACTCGTACCCTTGCTTGGTAAGGAGGCGACAATGCAACCAACTGATGTAAGACGCCTTCCTTCCTTCCTTCCTTCCTTCCTTCAGCAGATAAGTCCATCCATAGAGACACAAATGAATCGAACCTGCAACCCCCACCTTACCATATATTCTCCACTATCCTCAAGACGCTACTACATCCTCTCTCTAACCAGCTTTAGTGGGCTCAGCAAGCAATCACTCACCTCTAGTTGGCAGCCATATTTGGACTGAGACTCCCCTTTCTTCCTCCCACCCTGTTACCCCACCCTCTAAAGGGTATCATCATCCCCATTCAGACCCCTTCCAACCGACCACACGTCCTTCCCTGTTTTTTTCCCCCTCAGGCCTTGAACGCGAAGCCGGGCATGGCCTCCTTCAGTTCCTCCAAGTGATCTTCCACATTGCATAACACTTGCTAGCATCGCTCTGTGAACCTTTAGGGGCAGGCCCCACTGGTGATATGTTCATAATATAGCATGGACCTGGCTGCTACAACCGTGATGCCCATGCTTTCCAAGCAAGCATATAGCACCAGAGCCAGCTTCCCTAAAAGTGATCCAATTTGATCGTTCATCACACCATATGTCTCTCACACTCAGAATCCTCTCTTCCCATGCCCTCACAAAGTTCCCTGCGTTTTTGTAGTCCAGATTCCAGTTTGGTTTAAATCATACTTGCAACCGCACGAGCCGCACATTCGTGCGGAGTTCCGTGCAGGGGGTTCCTGTGCCGAATCGTGCAGGTTTTTCATTTTTATTATTATTATTTTATCTTTTTTTGGGAGGGTGAACGGGGGGGGCCTATGGCAGGAAGACGGGGATATGTCGAGGAGAGGCGAATATGGAGAGGAGGAGGAGGATGTGGACGAGGCGGACGAAGAGGATAGCAAGGACGACAAGGAGGAGTCGTCGAGATGGGGGAGGAGAAGAGATGGACGGAGGGAAAAGACGAAGGGCAGGAGGAGGAGGACGAGTGGGAGGAGGAGACATGGACGGCGAGGAAGGGGAGGAAGGGGAGGAAGGGGAGGAAGGGGAGGAAGGGGAGGACATGAGGAAGGGCAGGAGACGAGGAGGCATGGAAGATGAGGAAGCACGAGGAGGAGGAGGAGACAAGGAGGATAAGGAAGGGCAGGAGGAGGAGGACGAGTCGGAGGAGATGAAAAGGAGAAGGGAGGAGGAGACATGGAGGACGAGGAAGGGGAGGAGGAGCAAGGTGAAGCAGCACTCCTGT